AATGCTACAAGCATTTCAGCTGCTAGTGATCTGGACGGATTGTGATCGAGAAGGCGAAGCGATTGGCGCCGAGATAGTAGCGATATGTAGGCAGACGAAGCCAACTTTGGATGTTTACCGAGCCCGGTTTTCGGAAATAACCAGCACAGCTGTGCATCGAGCACTGAATAATCTTACAAGGATGGATCCGAAATTGGTGGATGCTGTGGAATGTCGGTTAGTAGTATTGCTGAATGTTATTTCCCAGGGCTAGCCCCATTAAACACCTGAACCTGGGGCAGCTGCTGGTCATAGTCTAAATTAATGGATACCTTCCACCAAAAATGTGTTTTTCACATTCACACCATTCTATATGTTCGAGTTAGTTGTTGGCCCAACCTTCTTACTGTTTTTTTTTTTTTAAATATATTTTGAGTACCTTCCAAGTGTTTTCATCTGCCTGTACTCTTCTTGCATCACTTGTTCAGCTTCTTTTCCTGGTGCACATTTCTTTTATTGCTTTTTTTTTTTTTTTATCAGGATACCATCACAGTTCGTCATTGGTTTTGTGCCAAAGTGTTTTATCATCCTAATATTCTCTCATTTGAAATTATTGATGCTCCTAAGTAATGATTAATTAGCGGAAGATATTTTGAATGTTTTTTGTGCTCGTACGACATAGATAGACTCTTTCGAAATTTACTAATTGTCGTTAGTTTTTTCAAAAAATTATTTTTAGTGTCGGGAATCTATTTCAGGTCTGAACTGGACTTACGAATTGGCGCTGCTTTCACTAGGCTCCAAACTCTTCATTTAAGGTTTCCTTTTTATGCGTTTTTTGCAGAATGCAATGCAAAAACGCATATTGACGAGGGGTTGGTTGTCTGTGTGTGCGTCTGTCACGCACTTTCTTCTCAAGACCTATAAAGGCTATAGGGCTGAAATTTGGGGAACTTAATCTACATGCACGTGCCAGCCCCAAAGCCCCAAAATTGGCGCCATACCCGCGTGATACCCGCGCACGGACCTGCCAAAATTTTTTTGGGGTATGTTCATAACTCGCGGATCTGAGAAGCTAGAACGCAGAAATCTTAGGGGGATGTCCCCCGTCCAAGTGGGTGTTAATGCACTGAAACCCATCCCCCGGACAAGCGTGGTACCGGCGTACGGGCCCGCCAAAATTTTTCTCGGGTAAGTTCATAACTCGGGGATCTGAGAAGCTAGAACGCTGAAATCTTAGGAGGATGTTCCCCGTCCAAGTAGGTGGTAACTCAGGATCCAGGAAAGCTAGAAAGCTGAAATTTTAAAGGGGTGTTTCCTGCCAGTTCTGGCGGCCAGTCTTAATTTGTTCAGCTAGAAGCATTTGCCGGAAAAACCGATGCCGGTAGC